CTGGTCGGTCTAATTCTCCCTTGGAATCGAAAACTGGACCACTCGGACACTGGTTCCATTTTTAGGAACCGAGAACCAGTCAGTTAGAGTTTAGTTCACATTTTACTAATTTTTATCAATAAATTTATATTAATGAAGTTCACTTAGGGTTTAGTTCATATTTTAATAATTTTTATCAATGAAGTTCACTTTAGGGTTTAGATAACATTTTACTAATTTTTTTGAATAAAAAAAAGTATATGTAGTCGGTCTGATCCAATCAGTTTGATTCTCTCTTGGAATCGAGAACGGGACCAACTGGACACTGGTTTTGTAGGAACTGGTAACCGGACTGACGCTCCCCGGAACCGAAACAAACCGGCCGGTTTGGTCCGGTCTGGGCGATTCCCGATTTGGGCGGTTCGTTTTATGCACCCCTAATTTTGAATTAAAGAGAGGAGGGGCGGGAGAGATTAACTTTACAGAAATAAAATAAAAAAGAAAAGAAAGCGAGCATTTAAAAGTGAAGAGCATTTTCTAATTAAATAATTAGAGAAAGAGCGAGGGACAGACGGAGAGGACGCGAGAGAGATTCCGACCAGGAGAAGGAGAGAGAGAGAGAGAGAGAGATGTGAGATAAAGTGAGAATCTAAAAATGTGGAGCATTTTTTAATTAATTGATTAAAGAGAGGGGCCAAGCACTCTTGATTAATTAAATTAAAAATGGTCTTAGTTTTCTTTTTGGTGTTTTTATAAGGTTTGATTTCTCCCTCTTTAATTAACTCATTGAAAGATGCTCGGCATTTTTAAATGCTCGCTTGTCTTTCTTTTTGTTTCTACAGGGTTTAATCTCTCTCTCTCTATTTTTTTCTTGTTAGAATAATTTCTCTCTAATTAACTTATTTAAAAAATGTTCAGCCTTTTTAACGTCAACGCTCTCGTTATCACTTTCATCATATAAGCATAGACATGTAAAAAATAGAAGAACGATTCAAAATCATATTGCATATTAGAACATATGACTAAAGTTTCAGTGAGAATTTGACCAGAGTCAATGCCAAATGTATATCGATATGTAGTTTTGAAATATAATTTTGAGCAATCCCTATATTTTTCTCACATGTATAGGTGATGTATGATCAATTTGCCTTCCGTAACTAATCACGTGCCATCACGTGGTCAAGTATGTGACAAAAAATTGGCTAGAGGCAACGATAGGGAGGACATTGCTACCAATTTCACAAAGTCAAGGGACAAATTGCAAAGATTGAAACGTCGTGGGGCAACTTGCCAAAATCCCCAAAACTCAATCCCCAAAACTTGGGGAAAATGTAATTCTCCGTACATAATCAATCTAACTTATATGAGTAAAAACAACATACTATTGACGTTGCCACTGAGAAAAATTTCTAGATTCGTCCCTTGAAGAAGCTATTTCTATTGAAACTGCGTCAGGAAGATTGAATTTACTAAATCCTAATGGGAAGACCCAATGGTGTTCGTATTCCATGTTCTTCAAGTCAGAAAACACCCGAGTTTTCTTGATCGGATTGATCGACGTGGGTCTAACAAGGTTGAAAGATCCGATGTTTTTTTGTTTGTTTGTTTGTCTTTTGGAATGGGAACATCTACATCTAGAGGATTCCTTCCTGGAATGCGCGGCTCTTCTCGACTTTGAACAAACACTCTTTAAGCTGTCTGGAACATCGATCCATATGGATTCGTCTCGGTTGAATTACCCGATGTGGAGGAAGAGGGTTTCAAATCTTGTAAAAATTAGTCGGATGCTGAAAAAAGTCTAAAAAATGTTACTGTTAAAAGAAAAAAAGAAATTGAAAACAGGTTGACTAAGAGGCTCTTCTTTGGGGATAAATAAGTGATTTCGATTTTTGAGTTACTTATTAACGTCCCTGAGTTTCCCTAGATCCCAAATAAGATATTATTTGTTTTTTTACTTGAATAAATAAACTAAGCCCACTCTTTCAGAGTGAGTGCTAGGAATGTTTTGGTCCCAATCTTGTCGGCTCACGTCTCGATTTTCTGTGATAGAATTAGTGAAGCAAAGGAAGCTTCCTCTAGCGGGAGCAATGTTTAGAGCATGTTTTCTAAGTAGTATCAAACTCTCTGGAGTTTCCCTGGAAGGGGAATGTTCTGCCGGTTAAAGAAATTTTCAAGACAGTCATGAGGGAGACTCGTTCACTGCGTGGTATTATCCGGAGGCCGAGTCGATTGATCATTTAGCATAAAACCCAAAGGTTTTATAACTTATAACTTCAAATTCATTTGATGTTTAGTAATGGATTTTTTATTCTAATTCATCGTCGAGAAACTTTATTGCTCAAAACCCAGAAAAGAGCTGAGGGCCAACAACCATTCTGGTCAAGAAAAACTGAGAATGTCGCAATAGCTATTGAACATTTCAATGTGACAGTCGTGATGGTAAGTGCGTCCCAGTATAACAAATACAAACACAAAACTGCTCATATGGAGCCAAACTCTCAGCCCAAAATTGATGTCCCAGCAACAAAAACACTAAAGCTAAATGAAGAAAGCCCTACCCCACATAAATAATCACAAGAAACTGCAGTATATGTTCCGAAATCTGAGTATAACACCATATATTGCACAATGATCCCAATATAACTCATGCTATGATAGTTAAGAATCACTTCATTATCTGTGAGTCCGACGAGCAACCGACCTCTCATCTCACTCATAAACTGCTCCAACATGGAGTTTAAATGCATTCAGTTGACCTTTCACAGCGGAAATCTCCGCTTGACGATTCCTGTCTCTCTCCTCCATCTTCTCTTTCCCAGCAGACATCTTTGAGTCATGCTTAATCTGTAGAGCGGATTGCATAATGGTTACTATCTCCTCCATCCTCTCTTAAAGTAGGTGCACCTCATCGTCATTTTTGGATCGCTTGTGTGTTTGTGTTGTTGAGTCATGTAGGAGTGACACCGAGCACATACCCAGCCGCACCTCTGTACCAATTTTCTCCCATCACATCTATGCACACGCTATTTTCCACCCGTGAATGAATCCTCAGACTCTTCAAGTCGAAGACATTGTTGTACCATGCAGATGCTTCAGCCCTTTGAAAGTTGGAGAGGAGAAAGAACACACCACTAGGAATCATAATTTTTCTAAGTATGTCAGTGCGGACATATAACTTGCCCATATCAACAAAAACATAAATAAAAAAAGGGTCAACATAACATTATTCGCTTTCCTCTCTCTCACTTTTTCACCATTCAGTTCAATTAAACAAAGGGAGACCATTATCTGGGCAAAAGGTTCATTCTCTTTTCCACCGAGAAGCTTACTATTTGGCTTTACCTAGACTAAGGATAGACCAATTATTAAATCTTGGATGGAAATTTCTTTTACCCATTTCTCTAGGGTTCATCCATGTTCCGAAACGCAGAATATACAACTCGAGTATATGTTTAAAGATCGAAATGGTGAAAAGACTGAAACAATGAACAAAGACTTGGAACACAGAAAGCCATTATGTGTTTTCAAATCGCGAAAATTAGTGCACGAACACTCAGGTAAAAACTTAGGGCTTGAAACTTATTCAGCCACTGCGACGGAGCTTCAAAACTAAAGTTGAGGCACCTCTCTTTCGATTTCCATTTTTGACAAAATCAATTCGCTTCCGAACACTATAGACATGGGGGAAAAGAACGTACATTTAATTTGCAGCAGCGTCACCAGCCACATAGAGACGCCATGAGCATTTTTTAATTAAATGATTAGAGAGAGGGGGAGAGAGTATAGTGTGTGTGTGTGTGTGAGAGAGAGAGAGAGAGGCCGAGCACTTTTGATTAATTAATTTAAAAATGCTCTCGCTTTTCTTTTTCGTGTTTCTATAAGGTTTAATTTCTCCCTCTCTAATTAATTAATTGAAAGATGCTCGGCAAATGCTCACTTTTTGTTTCTGTAAGGTTTAATCTCTCTCTAATTAACTAATTAAAAAAATGCTCGGCATTTTTAACTCTGAGTTTATTTTGATCAAACCCCACCATGAGCCCCTTGGAATTTATATGGATCCAAAAGGTAGATCGATGTGATCCTTTTCTGATCCCACAATGCTTATAGTATCAGAATAATCATAAGAGGCTTCCCTCCCATTTCTAAATTGTGGGAAAATATTATTCAAACCCAATCATAAGATACCATATCTCCCAATAGGACAAGAAGTAGCTGTTTGTTGGAATAACAAGAAAGTACCCCCATTAACTGAAGCATTAGGACCGATATGCCCCTAACCTTTTTTTGATTTAAATCATTTCGTTGATCGGTAATGAAAACGTATTATATTCTCTATGCGCTAACTTTTCTCAGGTGATTGTTTTTCACTAATGGTATGATGATTTGTTATTTTTCAGCTTGCAAAACCATTTTATATAGTGTGTCGTGGCTACTTTGGTACAGTGATATTTAAAAAACACCCTAAGTATTTTACGCACATTGGCAAGGATCAATTGTAAAAACCCGATCTCAAACTCAAATGGTGTAGGATTTGATTGAAAGTTGACATGCAAAGAGAAAACCTAAGCTGTTTGAGCATTATTTTCTAGACTTGCAATTGGTTTATGAGGTTTATTGATCACCTGCAAATAGCAACTAGGAAAAGGAGGCGGTGCAAACTGCAAGTGCAAGGAAAGATTTGATCACCTGAGGAGCTCGTTGGTCTCCACTGACAACTTTTTTTACGTACGCAGGTTTATCATATTCTGGATAAAGATTCTCTTTCTGGTGTTCAGGTAGAGCAAAAGAAAGCCGAGTGCATCCCCAGCATGGAACATTCAAGGAAACCTCCTCCCGGAAGCACATTCCACCCTCCATAACATGCCCAGAGACTAACACCGCATAAAAACCACATCTCTCCCACTACCAAGCAAGACCAAGCCTCTCTCTCTCTTCTCTCTCTCTCTCTCTCTCTCTCCTCTCTCTCTCTCTCTCAAGACCAAGCCTCCTCTCTCTCCAAAAAGCACGGCAAAGGAAGTGCGATGGCTCTCATGCGGGAAGCTGCGAAAGAGAAGGAATTAGCAGTGAAGAGACGAGAGCTGCTTCTTCTTCCTCCCAGGCACGGAGGCATATAGCGTCTCATGTTCGCCTGTTTGGTCCGAAGCTTCAAAGCCCTTGGCGGTAAAATCTTCAGCTCTCCTCTCGGCCGCAACGCAGCCTACATTCCCACGTAAAATCGAAAGTCACCTCTCGCGTCTTCGCTCACACGCTGGGTCGCCAAAAAAATCATCCTGGATGGCTATATATAATGTGGATCTGTTGTTGCGTTCTGTTTTTGAGTTCTGTGTTGCGTTCTGCTTGTGCAGTAGCTTCGAGTTGGAAAATGGCTCCGTGTTTATCGTCGGTTGTTCTGTGATCTCATTCAAAATTTGTCTCCACAGTGTATAGGCTAATCCATATATACCATGTTTATGTTTTGTTTCTCTTTTCTACATTTTTATGCCATTCTCTTGTCTTGTACATGTAAGTTATCGATCAAATAAAAAGCGTAAATACTTTCGTTTTTTTTATGTCATTCATTCATGAATGAATTAAAAATACTTTTATCGTCCATGAATGTATTTAAATATAAACATCGATAATGAAAATATTTTTTACTGACTAATTAATTCAAGCGAAATGATTGATCCCCTCGTCTTCCTCCATCAAAAAATAAGTCCTCCAACATGACATTTCTACATCTATAGGTTACGTATTTAGCACCAAATTGAAATTGAAATGATCGACGGGTGTCAATGTGATGGTTTTTGGTGCTTTTATCTATACTTAAGTGTCAATTACGAACCACTCGGGTTGCCTCGGTAGACACCCTACCCATTTGAGAAGGGGGAGGCGAGGAAATTGATTCCCCACTTTCTCGAGGGGCTAGGATGGGGACGAGTGAGCGAGGGAATAGGATTTTGCAATTTACGCACAATACATAACATATACAGTGGCTTGTGAAACAATTATAGGATAGGATAGCATCAGACAAAAAAAACATGTCAACTATGGATGCTGATTGTAACTGATACAAACAAAAATGTGGCCACTAGAAAACTGAAAAACCAAATACCCTAGCGAAATGACCGGATGAACTGCATGTTATTGATCTTTTTTCTTTTGTCTAATTATTGGAAATCGAGCCTGTGGTACGGTTTTAACTATTCCTTAGTTCGATAGATTTGCTCAATTCTGTGGCCCAAATGGGTTTGAACGCCAATGAGAAGTATGTTGGCCCAAATAGACTCTAGTTGGCAAAAGGGCAGTTAAGTTGTGGCCTCGTTTGTTGCTAGGACACAATAGCCATGTACGTAGTTGATTTTGGGCCCATAAACCTGAGATCCACATCCACAATCCCCGATCGCAGAAATTTTTCGGGCAATCATCGCAATGGTGATGTGAAAGGAAACATAAAATTGCTGAACACATTGCGCATATCATACGACGATTGAATTGGGTGGATGAGAATGTTGTTTTATGTGCCGGACCTGCACGCTACAGACAAAAGAAGTTTTATGGATTTAAGGACTCTCCAATACTTAAGGAAATGTGAAGAGAAAGGCAGAAGGAGAGAGCTAAAAGAGGTATGATAATGCTGCCCCTTCACTGATTTTAAGCGGAAGCAATTAAAGGAAAGGAAATAAATAAGAAAAAAAAGACCACTTCTGTGTAGAAATTCTCAAAAAGAAGAAGGAAAAAAATAAGATATTCATCTAGAGTACTTTCTTGATACCGTTACGTAATTCAATTTAGTAAGCTGATTACGTAAATTGATGACCTTGTGTTCACATAATAAATTTAAATGTGTAGTAGTGACTAAAAACTGTGTGAATCGGACAAATGGAAAAAAAGGAGTGCTTATTTGAAGCGGGATAAGTATGCTAGAAATCCTAAAACTTGTTGACAAAGCGCAATTGAATCCTAAAATTTTCGAAATGTGCAATCAAGTCTTAAATCTTGTCAGAATAGTGCAATCGAGTCCTAGAACTTTCAAAAAATGCAATCGATAGAATAACTTGATTTGACCAATACGACAAATTTTAAGAATTGATTGCATTTTTTAAAAGTTTTAGAACTCGATTGCACTTTCGTGATAAGTTTTACATTTTTTGTTATATTTTTAAAAAATTTTAGGACTCGATTATAATTTCGTAATAAATTTTAAGACTTTCAATACACTGATTACTCAACCTCTCGTCTTTGATGGCCAACGACTTTCGTTGCATTAACACCACTCATGACACGCACGTCCTATTTTCCATGAACATCACTCTCCAACAGCCCTAAATTCTCTCTCTGTCTCTGTCTCTCTCTCAAGCCACGTTTTCATTAGAACCATCTCTTCTCTTTCACTCCCAAATCCCACAACACTCTTGAGAAAAGCAGAGATCTTGAGTTTGATTTCTGGGTTCCGAGTAAAATGAGAAACCACCACAGCAGAAACTGTGATCCTGACTCGCCAACTCTGTGGAAGCGCGAAAAAATGTCGATAAGTATTGCCAAAGATCACCACTACAGCAATCTCTCTCCTTCAACAAGGACTCGCAGGATCGAAGAAGGAAGAAGAGAAATGATGGAGATGATCCGGAACTTGCCCGAGTCGAGTTACGAGCTTTCCCTCAAAGATATTGTGGATAAGCAGCTACCTTTGCAGGTATTAGTGGACTCGGTTCGGTTCAGTGTGGTTTGGTTCGCTTCTTGTTCAATCATGAAATCTGATCTCATATCTGTAATCACACAGTTGACATAACATAGTAACATACCGATGTGCTTTAAAAGTGCTCTTCATCTGTTGTATATGCCTTGAAACCAATCTAGGGAAACACCAAGGAAATGATGTTTTAGAACTCGAAGACAAATAATTAAACGTGGATTGCTTTGCAGGAGAATCAAGAGGAGGAAGAGGAAAAATTTCAGTTTCGCAGTGCCGAGGCAGAGTCAAATAAGAACCAGAAGAGGAAGAAGAGGAACAAAGTCACGAGGACCCCTAGTCATCAGCATCATCAGCATCAGGTGTCAAGATGTAATGGCATGGAAACAGGAACTTTCCTGATCAAGATGTTTTTCCCATCTTTCTTGGCATTGAATAAGAAACCAGCAACATCACAGAACAGCAGGTCGAAGATTTCGCCGAGGACATCATTTGAAGGGTCTGATCAGAGGAATGTGGACACGGCGTCTAGGATTAAAATGAGTCCCGTCGCAGGAGATCAGGGGAGTCGCAATCGAGATATAACTGAAAGTGGTACCAGAAGGAGCAAGAGCTATACAAGCAGGCAGGAACTTGAATATTTTTCAATATGACATTCTATTTGTGGATTTTTGGTTATTCACCTTTCTACTGACTGAGTAATATCCTAGCCATATTGCCAGAAAAGGTAAGTTTTCTTGGAGAAACTGCACATCGTTTCATTTAAAATTGAGAAAGATGGTATCTCTATTGAGCCCCAAAGCACAATTTTTATTCTTCACCAGTAGCAATCCTGTTATTGAGTCTTGAACAACATGCTGATTTGGTCTGCAAATAACAGAAAATGTTTCAAATCGAACTATGCCAGTTCTAACCTTTTGATCTACTTTCAATTTTGTTTGTTCGATTTGAAATTAAAACTTTACATTTTAGTAAGAAATTATACTCTTACCAGCAGTTGTAAAAGCGTACGATTCCTACCTTTATGCAGGAACCATGACGGCGATTCTTTCCTGGGTTGCTGGCCTTTTTCCGGAACAGAAGGCAAAATGCAGAGCTGAGAGCACGTGTTTCCAGATTTCCTCTGCCACCTGCACATGAAGGTATAATCAGAGATTGATTTTACCTTCAGAATCTAGAGATATACTCAAACAGCAGAAGGGTGTCCACAGTTTGATTAAGCTGGTTTGATTATCTCGGCTCTGATGAAGATTTGGCTAATCAGTCCAAGAAAAATCTAATGCTAGTGAAGTTTTAGATTTCTGTAGAGACTACGCAGGCCTTAACTTGCCTCATCGTGATCACGAGTAGGTGAGTTATTAGTGGCTGAGAATATGTATCATCATTATGTGACAAAACTAAGGATCGCATAAACTGGATGCCGTTTCTATTTTTTCATTTAATGGTACCTGTGCTGTACACCAAGAATAAAACAGATGAACAAGAACTATGCAAAGTGATCAGATAGAGCTTGCGTGCCAAAAAAGGAGAACAATCGAGGCTGGTTTAAGAGGATTAGTGGGGCTAAGTTCTTCCTCTGAATGGAGGGGATGAATTAGCCAGACAGGGACGCCTGTAATAAGTGGGAATTCATTTAGAAAGAAGGAAGAAGAACCGTACGATCAAATAAGTACAGATTAGCTGAGAATCCATTGTCTGCTGTTTTCTTAATCGGATTGCTCAACATGGGTCTAACAAGGTTGAAAGATCCGGTGTTCTTTTTGTTTTTTCTAGGAATTGGCACATCTACATCTAAAGGATTCCTGGTACGTGCGGCTTTTCTGGACTTGAATACACTTTTTTTTGCCGTCTGAGACATCCAGCACCCGTGCAATATGGTTGGAACATTGATCCTATGAATTCGTCTCGGTTGAAGTACCAAGGTTCGGCGGAATATGATTGGATGGTCATCCTCACAGTTGGAACATCAAACATAGTCTCATCTGCTGCAACACGCAACGAGCACTCGTCTAAGCTGCACGAGGGTGTGGTGGTGGAAGCACCGTCCTCTCATGCAGAACAACAATCCAAAGTACTTTGGCTCTCTAGCTACATTTCCTTGCCCGAAATGGCTGATAGAGAAATATTAGAGGGACTCAAATAATGTGGTGAACATACTCAATTATAATATTAAATCTACATAGAAATTTGCATTTTCTTAGTGGGACTCGGTGTGGATTGAACTAATTTTTAATATGCGATTGACATAATTTATTAGACTCTCCACATATAATAACTTCTTGTATAGGTCCTTTCCTAGATGAATCAATCTAGTTTGCTCCTTTTTTTTTCACTTACAGGACCTCAAAGACTCTTGCTCCAATTTCGATGGGCCTTTTGACCAAGTGAAAACGGAGTTGTGGGAAAGCAATGCAAGCGTCATACTGTTATGTGAAATAGTGGAGTGCTGCATCCTATTCCTTGATGGTTAGTTTTTTTTGTTAAAAAAAAGTAATGTTTCTTAGTTAAGTAAGGAAACGATAACATAAGTTATGGGTCTACATAAAAATCTGGATAATGGCGATTTTACGACCCAAGGTAGCATGCGACACTTGGAATATCGTGCGAATCAACAAGGATTGCCTTGAGATTAAATACTCAAAGTTAGCGAAGTAATAGCATGAGAGAAGGGTGAAAAGAATTCCCATCCCTCGCATCAGGTGAGTTCAGGATGGGAAAAAGTATCAAAAAAGTCATAAACCTATTATATTGGTACCAATTCAGTTCTAAACTTTTCAATTAGACCAATTTAGTGTTAAACATTTTCACATTGGCATCAATTTAGTCCATCCGGCCTATTTAGGCCAGAAATCGCTTATAGGAACGCCAACCGTCTTACGTGGCACGGTCGACATTGATGTTGACATTTTTTGAATGATTTTTTTGAATTTTTTTCTTTTTTTATTCTTTTCCTGTTTTTCCTTTTTGCAGTTGCATTCCCTTTTCTTTTTGCCGGTGGCCGGCAAGGGCTGGTCGTGCCTAGGCGAGGGCAAGCGCCGGCGAGGCCCCCCTTGCCAAGCCTCACCGTCCCCTAGGCCAAGGCAAGGCTTGCCGGACCTTGCCCTTGCCTAGGCGAGGCCCGTCGAGGCACGGTGAGGCCATCCTGGCCTGGACGAGGGTCGGCTTCACCAAATCTAGCAAGGGCATGGAAAGATTTCCAAGTTCTTATTCAACACCGGCAAAAAGAAAAGGGAAAGGAAAAAATAGGAAAAATTTCAAAAATATTATTAGAAATATCTTTTTAAAAAAATGTCCATATCAGCGTCGGCCGTGCCATGTACAATGGTGAGTATCCACGTCAATGATTTCCGGCCTCAAGTGGCAGAATGGACTAAATTGGTACCAAGGTGAAAAGATTTAGAATTAAATTGGTCCAACTGAAAGATTTGTGACTAAATTGGAACCAATACAATAGGTTTAAGACTTTTTTTGTACTTTTCTTGTCTAGGATGCTGTGAAGGAGGAGATCTGAGTTCTAAATGGTGCTGCGAAGCAAAGATTCCCAACCAACGCTTACAGCCGGTGGGGCAACTTGGACAGTAATTTCCATGTAAGACAATGCAACCCAAGTTAGCCACAGGAATGTTAGCTTAAACCTGTGAAACAATACAATTATGAAAAATGAGAAGAGAGGTTTCACTTTGGGCTTGGTTGGGCTATTCAGTTTAGCACCCTTCTTCTAGCCCATCCAGAAACATTGCAGGCCCTAGCCCCTAGGGATAAAAGTGTTTATATATTTAAGTATATGAATTTTTCACAAATTAGTTTTCTGAACTATCATGAGTCTAATTTGTTGAAAATGATCAGTTTATGGAAAATCATTTATAGTTAAAGAAAATATGCATATTTAAAGTGAGGAAAATGAATTCTCTAACATGAAAAAGGGAGAACCTTTTCGTAGAAAATGATTGCCCGTGCAATTTTCCCCTTTATTTTCTACCGACCTAAACTTGCTGTCTGAGAAGCTATAGAACTTGCTCCCTTTCCTCTGCTGATTCTCCGCGGGCATCAGCTATGGAGTGTTGGTCGCCATCCTAGTATGAAGCCAAGTGCAACATTGCACTGAAATTGATCATGTCCTCCGCGGCTATCTTCCGTACCATGAGTTTTAGCATTTACTTGGGAAGATTTGTCCAATAGTTCGCTATGATTCGAAGCGTTGCATGTTTGAGCAGTCGTATTACAAATTCAAATCCACTCCGAATTAAAATTAGGACAAATACACAAAAGAAGGTAAAATATTGACCAATATAGGAGTTCCTCAAAATCTTCAAATACCTAAACAAAAGCCGCTGGAGATTACAAATAGGCAAATTTCCTTTAAGGTTAGCGCATCAGATTTATTCATATTAAAAATATATTCTGCTTGTCTATCCCATGATGAATTTTTTCTCCTCAATGCAAAGCCCAAGCTTGAGGGAAAAAGTATTAAAAAAGTTATAAACTTAAGCTCAAGTTTAAAGGAAAAGTATCAGAAAAGTCCTAAACCTATTACACTTGTGTCAATTTAGTCATAAACCTTTTTTTGGTGTCAATTCAATCATAAACCTTTTATTTTTGTGCCAATTTAGTTATTCCGGCTAATTTTGGTTGTATATTGCTGACGTAGATACCGACCTGCTTACATGGCATTACCGACGCTGATATGGACAATTTTTAATAATATTTTAATATTTTTCAAATTATTTTTTCATTCTTTTCTTTTCTTTTCTTTTTTTCTATCTTTTTTTTTTCCTTCCCTTTCTTCTTCCTCCAACGAGTGGCCCTCGCCGGCCACTGGTGAGGCTCGCCCTCACCGATGATGGCGAAGGCAAGCCTCACCATGGCTAGGCGAGGGCTACTCGCTAGAGGCCGTGAGGGCGGCCTCGCGCTGGGCTAGCGAGGGCTCGAGCCTCAATAGTGGCATGGTGAGGCATGACCTTACTGGATCTGGTGAGGTCGAGCCTCACCCATGGTCGGCGAGGCTCGATCTCACCAACCCAGCACGAGGCCGCCCTCGCAGCCATCTGGCGAGGGCAAGCCTCATGGCCTCTGGCGATGAGCCCTCGCCCAGCCATGGCGAGGCTCGCCTTTGCCGTCGCTTGCGAGGACGAGCCTCACCAATGGTTGGCAAGGTTGACCTCGTCGGCCCTGGCCTCTGGTCGATCCCCGGACTGGCGACCGGTTGGAGGAAGAAGAAATGGAAGGACAAAAGAAAGAAAAAAAAAGAAAAGAAAAGAAAAGAAAAGAATTTTTTTAAAAAATAAATACAAAAATTTGAAAAATATTAAAATATTATTAAAAGTTGTCCACGTTAATGCCGGTGGTGCCACATAGACCGACCGGCATCCACGTCGGGAATATCCTGCTAAAATTAGTCGGAATGACTGAATTGGCATAAAAACAAAAGGTTTAAAATTGAATTAGCACAAAAAAAATTTAGGACTAAATTGATATCAATGCTATAGGTTTAGGACTATTTTGACACTTTTTCCTATAGGTTTATGACTATTTTGACACTTTTCCCCAAATTTAAAGGGAGGAACTATTCCTAATTCACGCCACTTGAAGAGAAGATACTGCGTGTCTGGCCAAAGAAGAAGATGAACGGTATAAGTTCCAGTGTGTATTCACTAATTATTTTTTTTATTTTCTTACTTTTTTTATCTTTTCTTTTCTTTTTAAATTTTTAAGTATTTTTCTGACGTGGTGCTTGACAGGCGGCACGCATCTTTGTTAGGATTAGTTGCACAAATACGAAGAGAGTAAAGGCGAGGAAGAGAAATCGAGACACAAGATTTTATCGTAGTTCACCCTTAGGCTCCGTTCGTTTTGCATAAAATATTTTTCGAGAATACATTTTCTCGCATTCGGTTCGCTTAGGAAAATTAGTTAACAGAAAATGTTTTCCTGGTTAATGGAAAACCTATGCTTAAATTCAGAAAAATGATTTCCGTTTTGGAAAAGTCTGAAAACATTTTCCAAAACATGAAAGATATTGGTGCTTGAACCCGAAACCCTACTTTTGAACATAGGAACCCCAACGCTATTTCCCAAGTCTCCAGTGCTTGGGCCAAGTCCATCAAGGTCGGGCCCAGGTCCATCAAGGCAGGGACAAGATCACTCACGCCTGGGCATGAGTCTATCAAGGCCGGATTTGGGTCCATTGAAGTCGGAATTAGGACACTAGTGCCTAGGCCTGGGCCCTTGATGCCCATGCCTGAGTCTATCAAGGCTAGGCCTGAAACCTTGATGCTTGTGCCTTATGCCACGGCACCTGAGCCCACGTCCATAAAGGCCAAGCTTTAGTTCCTAGCAGTCAGGCCCGAGTCCACAAAGGTTGTGCGTGAGTCTTCGGCGCTTGGACTTGGGCTCTTGACTAATGAAAAATTTGTTTTTAAAAATATATTTTTTTAAAAATCGCATTTTTAATTTTTTAATTTTTCCTTCTTCCTCGACTAGTTTCTGGCCACTGCAACGCCCAATGACCAACCATAGGCAAGTCTCAAGCTCACTGAATCTGGCGTGGTCGAGCTCGACCAAGGCCAACGAGCTCAAGACTCATCGAAATTGAGCAAGGCTTGAGCTCGCATGTTGTCGGTCATCGGCCATCGATGTGGCCAGCGACTGGCAGAGATAGAAGGAAAAAGAAAAAATAATTAAAAAATTCAAATTTTTTTATATTTTTCCAAGAAAATCAAATCAGATTTTCTATGCCAAATGGATAAAATATTTTCTAACTCATTTTTAGGTTTCAACCAAACACCGGAAAATATTATCATTTTTCTAGAAAATAATTTCTTGAAAAACATTTTCAAAACATGTCACATTTTTCGCGAAACACACGAAACCTTAAATTTAGGTTATGTCCAACAGAGGATTCCATTATATTTAGCATATCTAACCTCTCTGTTACATCTATCAATTATAAGAGAAAGAGATAATATATACTCGGTAGCTCTTCATGGACCAAAGCTCAAACTACAAATAAAATACATGCCCAAATTATAGAATCCGTTTGGCATCGTGGGAGCGCAGCCCCCTACCACCCCGGCCGAGGTGGCCCCCCCCCCCCGGACGCCCGCCCCCCCACCGGGGAGCGGGACTCTTGTGATTTCCTATCGATGGGGAGTACGAACCACACCCCAACAATCTTAGCAAAGTAATAGATAAAGCCACATCCACTAT